GTATGTGTCTGTTTTACCAGGTGACACATCTAACCGTCTATTTGTGTTGTTACATCACACAATCTACAACCCAATCCCTTCCGTCTCCCTGCCTGCCCTCTTCAATCTTGCCTATATCGTCCTCGGCCCACACCCAAGACGTCTCACATCTGACATCATTAAAAAGATTTCTCTAATGACCCTCACACCTCATGCCAGAAAATGTTCCTACCTCTGAGGAGACCAGAACCTTACTGATCATCCCTTCAAGGTCCTAACATTCTCCCAGGACTGGATAGGATACCATGGAGTTCAAGGATGCCTCCAGACTCCCTGGGAGTCAAAAATGTTCTCTTTTAGGATAGGGAGATGGCTCACTGGATAAAAGTATGCATCACTCAAACACAAATATCCCTAAAATTCATGAGAATCTAGGCATAGTAGCACATGTCTGTAATTTCAGTGCTCACACAGAGAGACAAGATATGGAAACAGGCGGATCCCAGAGAGCCAGCTAGCTCAGTGTTGGCAGCAACAAACAAGAGACCCTGTATCACAGCAGAAGACTATGAACAATATTCAAGGCTGTTCTCTGACTCACACATGCAAAACCATGGCACGGGTATTCCCACACTAACATCAACATACAGCACACATACACAAATTTAAAAAAAAAAACTATTTTTAGGTTGATCCATCTTCCTGCCCTTTCTGTATTAAATCCAAAAAGAACTTAGCCAACTACTTCCATCTGGAAGAATCTGTAATAATTATACAGCTCTGTGGTGACCCTTTTTGAAAGGGGTGGCCCTTGAACGCCATCACCAACAGGACTTTAGGAGGTCATCTTCCTTGAAGGGCATGCTCGTCCAGCAAATACCCTCACAGATGCACCAAGTGTGACTTTGCCGGGACTGCTGAGACACAGTCTGTTATAACTGGCATCAGTTGCCACAAGCAAGCGCTAAGAACCTGACCCTGGCAAAGCACATTTTACACTCCAGTGCTGCTCATCTGGGTGATACCAAGTGGGGAGGCGGGGGTGGGGGCAGGAAGGCAGAGAAGGAGGTACCGGAACATGATGCCATGCACTGCACCCAAAGACACCCTGCTGCAGAAACGACTTCACCCACACAGACAGACCAAGCCCACAAAACCAAGTTTTCAAACTGCTGCTGAGCCTCCCATAAAAAGCAGTTCTATTTCTAACCTCCCGCACCATGGAAAAATACAAACGATACCAAGCAACCGAGAATCTCTGAAAGTCTTATTTTATACTCTTTCCCCACACCCACGCCCAAACCTCCCCCACAGAAAAAAATCTTAGGTGGAAAATTTGCTAGCTTTTTTTTTTCCCGAAGTTTGACAATACTGTGATCAACTGACAAAGCTGCTGGCGGACTTGAATGTAGAAGAATTTGCTAAAGGCATTTTCCTGTTACAATTGTGGCTGTCTACTTGATGAAGGGGGGAAAAATGTCATTTGGTAATTGAAGGGCAGAGGACTGAAGAGATAGTCCCGTTAGCAAGTGTTTGCCTTGCAAGCATAAAGACCCAAGTTCAACCCCAGAACCATGTAAAAAGTCTAAATTAACGTGTTTTAAAGGTGTCCATGGTGGCACATGCTTATAGTCCCAGTGTTAAAGAGACAGAAACTGGTGGGTCCCTGGGACTTGTTGGACAGCCAACCTGTTCTACATGGCAACATCCGGTCCAGTGAGAGACCATATCTCAAAAGAAAAGGTAGACAGGTCGTGGCTGAAGGACACTCAAAGTTGCTCTCTGGCCTCCACAAACACAAACATTACGGAACAAAATAATGGGCGGCAAATGAAGCAGACAGAGAAATCCCAAGGTCACAGGCCATGGACAGAAGGGCTCGTAAGTGACATGTCTCTGAAGTTTCTTCCTTCTAGCCTTCCTCTTCACATTTCCCGGCTTTCTGAGGATATATCCAATGTTCCTGACACCTGCACCATGTGTCTGCTTTTCCCGATGACACTCTTAACCCAAAGCCAGAGAATGGGGGACTGGGGAGGGGAGGGGAGGGGGGAGAAAGGGTGCTACAGCCTCCTGACTCCTGTCCACAGTCACACAGAGATAGTTACAGGGATGGACAGGCAAGAAGGTAGGGTTTCCAGACAGAAGGAGATCCTGAATGGAGCCCTGACAGAATTCAGGAGTCCTCTGAGAACCCAGGAGAACAGTGAAGGGATCTCCCCAGGCCTCCTACTTCTGGTACCTTTGCTCTCGCCTCCCAAATAACTAACTTGGAGGATAACCCATGACTGTCCAGCTTCCTGTGCAGACAGGGAATCACTGTAGCCTCCACAGGGATCTAAGTTGAAGTGGCGGCACCTCAGGCTTTCCGTACAGCCGAGCTCTCATTGCTCGTATTTGGTTCCATTTTCACCATTTCATCAGTTGCCTGTGCACCACAGAGATCATTTCGTACGTACACATCGCTTTATTTAGCAGGCACAGATGACAAATGCTTTCCCCAGTACTGCTGGCCTTTGATCTGGATTTTTGTTGGGGGGCGGGGGGTCTTTTAACATGATCACAGGAAGTTTAGGTCAGAGAAGCACAGTGTCAAATCGAGTTGTTGGTTAATTGCTGAGTGTTTCTCAAAGTGGCTCCCTGTCCTCGCCATTGAGCAAGGAGCCTGAATTTATGATGTAATTAATGATTTCCTCACCTACATCTCAGCAGCCCTGCGCTTCACCATTTCCTAACACCTGGCTCTAGCAGGATGCCTCACGCAGTGTTTTAGAAAGCCTGCTCAGTCCCGAAGGAAGACAGACAGCACTTCTGTCTGTTTGTTGCCAGTTCCCACGTATGTATGATCCATGACTGACAGCTGGCTAACATCAGAATAGACAATGGCAACTTACATTTTACTGACCATTTAATGTGGATCAATGCTAAATTAGCCATTTCAAAGATAATTCCTCAAGATAAATCTCCCATAAGATAAGAAACGCTGAGACTCCCCATGACAACTTGCCCAGGGTATAAAATGAATAGACATGGCAGGGCTGGAACACAAGCCAAAGTCTGAGCAAGTGCGATATGACCAAGGTGCACACGCCTTCAGAGTCTTCAGGAAGACTGAATCTTCAGGAAGACTGAATCTTCAGGAAGACGACTGAATCTTTAAAATACTTAATAACAACCTAAGTACAGAGACCCAATCAAACCCACCTTCAAAGCCAAGTCCAAATAAATCCACTGCACCCAAAGACAGACAGACGCGGTATAACTAAGGCAGGACCCTCCCAGAGAAACTGAGCAGAGAGAGTAAGCGACACCTGTCCAGAGTGCTCACCACTTAGGAATGTCTCGCAGTCCAGCTGTGAGCTTTACAAGTAACAGAGCAAGTATAAATTCCAGGACAGCCAGCTGTAAGAGCCTATTTTAAAGTGTGAAAGTCCTGACAGCACCTCAGAATCAAAAGTCTGTGCTTGAGAGCACCCGGGAATGCTGGAGCTCCACACACTTGTGCAGCAAGCACAGGCAGTTCTTCAATGGCTCTCGTTGGCGGGGAGGAACACAGTTTTGTATTTAACCTAAAAGCCACATACGGTACTGTAGTCAAGAGAAAGTTTTCCATTACCAATTTTAAAGTTGCTTAAAATAGTTGACAGAATGAGGTAATCCCATATAAGGAGAGGAATCAGATACTTATGTAATTTTCAAGAATTATTGCTACTTTTACCAAAATTTTGTAAATCAAATTTCACAGTCCTTTGGGGCATAATTCAGTGGTATGTTCGCTTACTTAGAAAACTATATGGAGACAATTTTAGGCTTGGGTGGGTGAACATAAGGAGAATGCACGTGAAGTAAAGACAAATGTTAAACTGCACTCACACTTGCACGGGTCTTGGGAGAAGACTTCCTCCTACTTTAAGGTGGTAGTTAACTGTGCTAAATTACAGTAGGAAAACCACCAACATTCATTAAGTCAGCAAAAACAAGAGATTCTCCAGCACCGTATTGTTCCATCCAGTTAATAGAGAAATCGCACAAATATACGTCAGCAACACAAACATCCTTGAGAAGCTCCGAACACTCCGATGAACACCTGCCATCTACCCTGTGAGTTAATTCGCTCAGGAAGGAATTATGTATAAACTGAACTCAACTCATCCATAGAGAGAGGAACTGGACCCACACTGAAGTAGAATGCAGTCTGCTGAACAAGACATTTACCATTGAAAGGCTGAGAAAAGTCCATTTAAACTGAGGGAACTGTGTACATTGAGTGAAAAAAACACACAGAATCCTTCCTCATGCTGCAAATCAGGAGCCTCACTGAATCCCAACCATACAATTTTTTTTTAGAGCCCAGGAAGATCCTCACCAACTAATGACATTTGACACAAATTTTATTGAGTTGGGTTGGCACACCAGATACTGTTCTAGACCAGCCACACAAGCAAGCCATCGAAAGGGAGGGTGGAACACAAGAGACCAGGATTTGTCCTGGACCTCAGAGGGCTAGGGTAGGACTTGTTATAATTAGTGAGCCAATCTTCTAGCAAATTTTTAAAAAGGAAGAAAGCGGGGAGGGAAGGATGAAGGGAATACGCTGAAGCTTTGTAGAACACTATAGAACTCCTACTATCTTGAAAATTAGCAAATGTCTTTGTTTGATGCCAGGAAACATCAAATGAAGGCAGTCAACTATGCAGGATCAGAATCAACAAAATCACTTAAGAGTCAACGTAACAGAGGTAAAGGGACATCCTTGGGTGAAGAGCAAACATCAGATAAACCGGAACCTAGGGACAGAGCCTTGCATCCTCTAACACCATCTGACTGACTGACTCACCCAGGGCTAGCCCTGAATCTAGCTTTACACTAAAGGATGTCGGAAATGTAGTTACCATCTACATTTTACCTCCATGTACCCAAGTTTCAGTCACTTAGACACACAGATGGAAAACAAAGGCAACTTAAGGGTGGCCTCAGATAGACCAGGACCATCAAACTCTGCTTCACAAACATCAGCTCACCTCTGACCTAGGCGAAGCCTGAGGTCCGTCCTTAAAAACAGTCCAACAGGAGAACGGGCTCTGGTGCTGCAAATGTAGAGCCGGAAGTGTTAGAAGAAATACAGAGAAGGTTGATGAGTTGATTTCTCTCAGTTCAACCTAAGTTCCAAAAAAAAAAAAAAAAAAATCTGAGAATTGTCACAATGCAAGGCACAAATATAAAAATAAATAAAATAAAAATCCAAATATAAACATTAAGTACTACATGGGGTGAGGGGGAGAGATTCATAGCCAAAAATCTGGAATGAAAGATGTAACTAAATTGGGATCTTTTCTAGGAGTCATTGAGGGCAGTAAGTTCTCATCTCTACATCAAAGGACACACTTGCTCCTCCAACAACAAGAACTGTGTCTTCAATGAGAAGTCACAAATAATGGACAGTACCTTGCTGGACTGTTTATCTTTATAGCTACTTTATTTATTTACACTCCAGTCATTGTCCCCCTTCAATCCTCCCAAACACACAGAGTTCCTCATCCCATTCCTCCTCCCCCTTGCCTCCCAGAGGGTGCTCACACACACACCAGGCTTCCCCTTTCCAAGGGGGCCGCAAGTCTCTCAGGGATTAAGAACGTCTTCTCCCATTGAAGCCAGACCAGGCAGACCTCTGCCAGTGTATGACCCTGGTTGGTGGCTCAGTGTCTGGGAGCTCCCTGGGATCTGAGTTAGTTGAGACTGCTGGTCTTCCTCTAGGGTCGCTCTCCCTTTCAGCTTCTTCAATCCTTCTCCTAATTCAACCATTGGGGACCCTGACTTCAGCCCAATGGCTGAATGTAAGTATCTGCTTCTGTCTCAGTCAGCTGCTGGTAGGGCCTCGCAGAGGACAGCCATGCCAGGCTCGCATCTGTGTCTTTGGTTACTTTGGGCCTCCTGGGAGGCACGCAGGCTATAGAATGTGGGCAGGTATCATATCAGGCCACTGATCTGACCCGGATGAGGAATGGACCAAAAGGAAGCTCGACTGTTTTCTTTTCAAATTCAGATAGGTGAATTTGTCTGTAGCAATGCTGCTGCTGCTGTTGCTCTTTATGTGTGTCCGTGAGTGCAGGCACAAGCATGCCATGGCATGTATGTAGAAGTGAGGCAACAACTTCTTGGAGCTTCTCTTTGCACTGTGGGATGTAGGAGCCAAACTCAGGCTCTCAGACTGAGGAAGCATCAAGTCATGTGGGTGACAATCTCTATCTCTCTCTTTGAAATAGGGTCCCTCTTTATAACCTAGGGCTGGCCTCTGATTTGAGACAATCCTACTGTTTTAGCCTTCTGTGTAGCCTGATGAAAAAACCATTTTCCTCCTTAACAATCCAAATTACCTTGAGATAACTCAATGTACCTAATATTCAACAGTAAAAGGAGGCAAGCCCGAGGATACCTCAATCCCTTCTTGGAAACAGGTATCTAATCCTGTGTAGCAATGAAACTCTAACCAGGAAGACACTGTGATTGATTGTACTCACAAAACTGCCTGTTTTTCTGTGTCTTCCATCCTGAAAATAAAGCATCTTTAGTGCTGCAGGGGTTGCCTGGCTCCCACCATCTACCATCAACGCCTTTATCCCAACTTAGTGAGCACACTTTGTGTGATCCCAATTCCAGGGAGAATCATTGTGCACCACTCAGTGACCTCCTGTCTTAGGAAACCATTTCAGGTAAATCTGCCTCCGATTAGATGGGTACTTCTTAACACCCAGTCAGCCAGTACGGAGGATGTGTTCCATCCAAGGTAGAAGAAGCAGCCATCTGTGACATTTGTGTGCTACACTGCAGTCTCCAAGAGACTTGTCCCTCAAATCATGTTCCTACCATATGTCACTCCCCAGTGTTCAACCAATGCAAAGGTATCCAGATAAAAAGTGACTGATAAAGAACACTGTGAGACTCCTGTAGAAATCTATTCCAAATACAGGGAGGACCCAAACCCTCCCTGTTATTATCTATCTCCTTCCTATTCATATTGGAAATGCACAGAATCTAGAGCAGGCTACCAAGGCCTCAATCTTAGTACATTATAGATTTCTGAATTGTAACTGAAGAATGAGAGGCTGCCTCACCAAAGGACTGGGACCACATGGAAAGACCTGAGGGGCCTATAGGACCTGAGAACAGTCCTAGCTGACAGCAAGCAAAGAAACAGTGATATCAATCCTACAGTTAATTCTGTCAACCATCGACAAGTTTGGAAGCTGACTCTTTTCCATGCAAAGCACAGCCTTCCTAACATCGTAACTTTCGGCCCTAGAAGAACTGAACAAAGCACAAGACAGCTCAGCCATGGAAACTGAGATACATGAATACATTTTAAACCATAGATACATGAAATGCGTATTTATATATTAAATGCATGTGTAACTCCATTGATGAGGGTCCATCAACCATGAATGAGTTTTCTCACTCAGCTATGACCACCCTACAGGAAGGAACTATATTGTCAGCATTCTGAACTCATTAGAGGTCTCTAAATTATTGTTCACATGTGTGGCTGTGTATGTAAGTGTATATGTGAGTGTATTGTGAGCAGGTATTTGCATGTTGAAGCCAGAGGACAACTTTTGGTGTCATACTCAAAAAGGTGTCTGCCTCCTTTGAGACAGGTACTCTCAGTGTCCTGAAAAATCACCTTAGCTTGGTGAGCCAGAGACCCTTGAGGACTTTCTTGTCTCTGCCTCCCTAGCATTGGCCTCTTTAGCAGCCCCTGCCATGCTGAGGATTTTTACGTGGATCCTGAGGAGCAAACTCAAGTCTTCAAGCTCGTGAGGCAAACACTTTAAAAGCTTAGCCATCCCCTCGAGGCCAGTTTTTAATTTCAACAACTATGATTAGTCAACTTCTACATAACGCAATAAGGCCACAGCACCTGAATCCATTCACTCCTTCAGAGCAGGGTTCAAAGATTGGAATTTAATTTCAAAATAGGCTGAAACATATTTAGCCTTGCAGGCTTTTGCCCATGAACTTGAGTCAGTGCTTAGGAATGTCTCTAAGAAAGTAGCAACGTTAAAGTGTAGAGAAAAGTAGGAGATGTGCAAGAAAGGCTGGACTTGATCCAGTGTAAGATGCATGCCATGTAAACAAAGTGACAGAGGTGCCAGACAGAGTGAAGGGGCAATTCTGACCAAGGGTACAGGGCCAGAGGGCTCACAAAGGCTCACAAAACACAGCCAGGGCGGTGGGAACAGGGGTCAGGCAGTGAACTAGAGTTTGGTACATAGGAACCCACAACAAAAATCACAGGTGAGAAGTGGACCAGACTTGACCCTGGGGTAGCTTGCCCAGGTATGTAGGGACCTGCAACACACATCAACAGCCATGAGAATAGGCAGCTGGATCTGACACAGGGACTGAGTCCTCTCTGAACATTGCAACTGCCTCCATGCAAAGAAGGTTAACTTAAAAAGAAAAGAGGGAAGATAAAAGGAAGTGAGGTAGAAAAGGAGAACGGAAAGAAAAGCTCCATAAACTAACTTCAGTTCAAAAGTTTCAGTGCAGAAACATAAACAACACACAGAAGAAAGGCAGCATGTCTCCTTCAAAAATTACTGACTCCATAGTGATGACCCCCAATGAAAGCGACTTAGAAGAACTGCCAGACAAAGAATTCAAAGGAAGGATTACAGAGAGGTTCAGACAATTCAAAGAAGACATGACACACTCCAAGAGCACAAAAACGAACAGCCAAATGAAATAAAAGCATCAATTCAAAATATGAAAACAGGATTCAATAAAGAGAGAATTGCTAAAGCAAAGCCAAAGGAAATGACAGTGGAGACACTAACCTCCATCAGCCAAATACCAACGGGACTAACTGATCACATGGTGAACAGAGCATCAGGGTTTGAAGGCAACGTGAGAGAATTAGATCATTAGTTCAAGGTCAATGGTGAATTTTTAAATGTATACATGAATAGAATATGAAAGAGCTTGGGAACACCATCAAACCATCAATCTATAAATTGTGGACATACAAGAAGGAGGCTTCCATCCTAAAGGTATAAAAACTGCTTTCAATGAAGCCAAAGAAAAAAATGTCCCAATCCAAAGATAAAGATGTCCATCTGGGTACAAGAGACATACAGAAATCAATTTTTAAAAGATCAGAAAAGAAACCCTCCCAAGCCATATTTATAATTAAGCCACCAAAACCTAGACTAAACAAAGGTTACTGAAAGCCACAAGTGAGAGGAGCAAAGTTACACAGAAAAGCAAAGTCGTCCTTGCAACAGATGGTGACTCAGTAGAAATTTTGAAAGCCAGAAGAGCACCTATCTACCCAGACTGTTATATTTGACTATCTATCATGATTGAAGGAGAAATAAAAACTTTCCACAACAAAAATAAACTGAAGGAATTTATGAGTGCTAATCCACAGAGACACTGGAAGGATTCTGGACCAAAGAGAATAAACATTCCCAAAAGGCCACAGAGAGAAAAGACCAGGACAGTTGGTCAAAAGGAGTTTAAGAAAACACCACAAAGGCAACAAAACAACAAGAATCAGGGCACATGTTTTGATAATAACTCTGACTATTAATGGCCTCAATTCCCTCAACAAAAAGACCTAGACTAACAGAATGGATTGGAAATAGGATTCATCTTTTTGCTGCCTCTAAGAAAGGCTGCTTACCCTTCAAAGACAGACATAACCTAAGGGTAAAAATTTAGAATCCAAGCGAATGGAATAAGGAAATGAGCACATGTTGCTATTGACAATAGCATGCAGCTATTGTCAGCTATCTGACAAAATGGACTTTAAATCAAAATTAGTCAGAATGGATATAGAAGGTCATCTCATACATACCAAGGGATCTATCAAGAAGATATTAAAATTCAAACATGTATACCCCAAAATTTAGGTACACTCTCCCACTTCTACTCTAGTTCAATGCTTGAAGCCTTAGCTAGAACAATAAGACAAAGGGAAGAAATAAAGGGGATGCAGATAGGAAAAGGAGTACCCTTACTTGCAGACAATAGGACTCTAGACATGCAGAGGGACTCCACCAGGAAACTCCTACAGCTGATAAACCCATTGAGTGAAAGAGCAGGATACAAAATTAACACACAAAAATCAGTGACCTTTCTATACACCAAAGATAAACAT